GCTCGAGCAAGCCCTCGCTTTGCCTGCGAGCGCGGCCATGCGCGGGGCATCCCGGGTCGGCGCAGGCGAGCGACTCTGCCCTCGCCGCAAATGCCGTACGCCAACGCGCGTGTCGGGTCTATCCACCCCCAGCGGCACGGGGAGAGGGAGGATCCCCAACACAGCAGCCCTGTTGTTCGCAAGAGTTTGCGGGGGAAAACAGCAAAAACATCCCCCTTCTCTCCTTTCCCACATCTGGCAAAGCTCCGGCCCGGCCTCTCCCCACCCCTCCTCCTCCTCCTCCTCCTGGCGGCACTGGGCCGCTTTCCCAGCCCTGCACAGGGACCCACCAAAGAGGAGTATGCAGCAGATAAAGGGGCCAAAGTGGAGCTGGGCCGGCCGGGAAGGGCGCAGCGAGGCTCCAGCGCACCCCAGTCCGTCACCGCCAGCTGGGGGTGATGCCGGCAGGGAGAAGGGCATGGGAGCTCTGCGCCGCAGAGGCGCAGGGTGCTACGGGGGCACTTGGAGCACAGCAGCACCCTGCTCCAAGGTGCAGGAGCCTAACTCTCTGCCCCTCACCTCTCTCCCCTCAGCCCTCCGCAGGACGGGGGCTGAAGCCAAGGTCACAGATAGGTAATGATTTATATCAGGGAGCAAAGGGCTCGTGCTGCTGGCCCGTATTTTAGTGCAGGGAGGCATGGTAAATACCTGCAGCATTGGTGGAGACAGGGAGCAGCCACCCTCTGCCTGCAGATCTGCACCCGCCTGGGAGATCTTCCCCCATAAACTACACCTCAAAGGTTGGGATTGCCTAGCAAACCTCAGCATGGTCCCCAGCAGGAGCCTTCTCCCCTCTCCCCTGCCGTCAGGCAAGGACCTCACTGCACCACCCCGCACAAAGCGCCCAGCAGCACCTCGAGGTGGCCTCCCTTCCTGCGCATGTGGAGCAGGTCATCCTGCGCATGCTTATAAATAGCGGCTGACATTTACAGGGTGCGGTGGGAAGGGCGGGGGGGGGACCATGCCGGCTCCAGCAGCACAGGGCTCTGTGCCCAGCCCCTGAAACGCAGCCACCGCTGGCGTGGAGCAAGGCAGCCCCTTCCCCAACCCTCGTGTGACGGTGACCAGAGGCTCTCGCTGCCAACTCACCGCACGCAGAGAGCACAGGCAGGCGGTTGCACTAGTGCAGCTGGAGGGTGGCCAGTGGCACAGGATAAACACACAGCCCTGCCCTGGCCAGCAGCTCAGCAGGATTTTTAACCCGCAGCAGGAGGTGAATCAGCGTCAACGCTTCCCATGTACCAGTAGCCAGAGGCTGGCAGGGAGCAAGACCATTTTCCAGGGCCACAGGCATCGCCAGAGCTGCCGGTCCAAACCAAAGACAGGAGACAAGTGAGGCACTAGCCCTGCAGAGCCAGAGATGTGGGCTCTCTCTGCCCAGGAAGAGCCAGGGCCCCTCCGTGCTGCTGGCACATCAGTGCTGTTGAAAACCCACTAACGTAGGGTTACAAGCATCACATTACCACCCGCAATGCCATTTTGCTCAGTGAGAACAACGTGTGCAGGAGATGGGTAAATTCAGGCCCCGCTGCCCTCCGCAGGCAGGTCTGCCAGGGGTGATGGAGGCTGTTTTGTTTCCCAGGGGACCCTCTGCTTTCGGATGCGTGGCGAATGCTGACGGAAAAGGACCAGACTCGGAATGAGGGCTGAGGAACTGAGTCGCTCTCCGAAGCTGAATGCAGGGAGCAAACCCCAGAGCTAACAAGAACCTGCCTGCTTGCAGAGAGCATGAGCACAAAATCCAGACTTGTTGCAAATGGTCACAGTCCACTTCTAATCCTAAACAGTCTCTCCAAGCAGAGACATGTCCAAATATAGCCTTCTCTATACAAATTCCTCAAAGAAACCAGGGCTTGCCCAACAGTTAAGATTCGTTGGTGGGAGCCTGACAAAGCTTTCAACACAAGCTCACGTTTCAGAAATGCCATCCACCTCTTCACCTGCTCTCCTCCACAGACAGGCACAGGCTATTTTAAATGGCACTCTTGCAGAAAGGGAAGACTTTGGGGAAAACTTACGCTGTTATACACCTCCCAGGGACACCGCAGGGACCAGGTGGCTGGCTGTGCTGAGAGGATTCCTGTGCCTTTGCCAAATTTTTGGTGCTGGGCTGAAAAGCTCAGAGATGCAGCAACCACGCAGGGAAGGAAAACCTGGCCCATCTCACCAGCCACCTAACCATGCTCCCTCTTGGTGCCTGCTGACCTCACTTGACCTGGCCACGAAGTCAGCTACTTTGGGGTCAGGTCACTCAGGAAGGCAGCTAGCAGCTCCCAGAGCAGTAACAGCACACGGCCTCACGTGGCAGGATCTGGCAAAGAGAGAGCCCAGGATCTGTGGACTTCAATCTGCCAGAGCACCCTTTGTGCCTGCTGCCAAAGCCACAGCTTCCTCACCTGGACTCCAGCAGGGCAGTGATAGGGAATTCTCCTCTGCTCCTCCAGGCAGCCCAGGCTGTGCCAAGAGCATGTCAGGAACAGTGGAGCTCACTGACATTTTTAACCCAGAGGGTTAAAGATCAGCCTTGCATACTTGGTGAGCCAGTGAGCAGGGATGATCCGGGCCAGCTCAGGCAGGGAGACTAGCTACAGCCAGGGGCCCAGCATAAACCAAGTTGCAGAAAACACCATGTGAAAAGGGTAATTGGCCTTGGGGACTCTGCTGTCACCCTTGTATGCATTTTGGCAACAACCCAACAGTGATCAGAATAACAGTGAGCCAGGGCAGCCTATGTCCACAGCAAGAGGCAGTCCACAACTTGGACAATTTACAGTGTAAATAGACAAATGGAGGGGGACCACAGGGGTAATTATTAATCCATACTCTACACACGGAGAACTGAGGCCCAGCAGGAGTGAACAGCTCTCCCATTACCCTGCCATAGCCTGCAGAGCCAGATGTACCCTCAGCGCAATCCATTGTTGCAAGGAGCAGTGGTCCAGGCCCTTGAGCTACAAGTCACCAGAAGCAGAATTCAACATCATGACTATTAATTGATGTTCGAGTGGGACCAGCCTGAGACCCTGCATCTGCCAGCCTCAACTGTCAGCTGCATCCAGGCAATCTCAGCACAAGCAAAAGACTCTGCAAGTCTAAAGCGACAAGCATCTCTTGTGTTAGACCTACCTGTGGGAAAACAGACAGAGGGTGATCTGGTCTCACTTTCCTCCCAGATCAGAAGGCAGAGAGGCAAAGAGGGCAAGGCTTTCCATCAGCTGCACAGCTAGATTCAGTTCATGATCGCATGAAGTGAGAACACCAGGAAGGAGCAGCTGCAACAGGAGGAAGATGTGGCAACAAGAAGAGGCTGAAAGCAAGCCCCTATCGTGGAGCCCTGACCCCTCGGCTGCGTAGGAACACATGCTAAAAGCTGGAGCAGGCCTGAGGCTTGCAAGGAAATGGTGGGAAGGGCTAGGGTCAAATTAGTGAAGGGGTTTCTGGCTCCCATCCCTTTAGCTGCTGACTCTGACCACTGCCAGGGCCAGGACACCA